TGGAGCTAGAAGGCAATGCCCACCCAGGGAGACCCGAGTGGACTCATAGTGGGGGTTGTAGCCACCCTCGCGGGACCTTGCGCCTGGCAGTTATAGCTTGCGGGGACGGGTCTCCCATTTTTTCCTCTCTCTTCCCCACCCCCCACCCGTTTGCAGACTCAGGGAAGTCTTCCTTCCTGTCTGCAGCTCCCACATTTCCATCCCGCTCTGCTGGCGTTTATTTCATGTCCCACCCGCTCACAGAATTTCTGGATCATGAGGACTTATTTTCTGATTTGTTTTTCAGATGAAAAATCTTACAAAGCTTCATAATAAATGTTACCTAATTTATTGAGGCATTTGCCAAAGTGCCTTTCTAAAAACTTCTACAAAATTCGGAATGTCCCAGAAACTTCAGGTTAGAATAGAAAGATTCAGAAGCAGAAAATGAGCAGATAGATGAAACATAGATGTGGAATGAGAGTGTCCGCAGTGTCTGAGCATCTAGCCCCCACTCGGGCTTACATGTGGGCTCTGGAAATTTCTGCCTGGCACATGACGAACACGGTCTAAATGTGAGCTTTTACTGTTGTCACAGGCCAAAGGGTTGTTTCATGTCAGTGTAGTTCACAAAGCTGCTTGCTGTGTGTACTCAAACTGTAACCCTTTCCATGACCAAGACACACTGAATGGCTGAAAGAGGAAGGATCAGCTCTCAGTAGGTGGCCACCTCTGCCTTATGCCCCTGGTCATGGCCCCAGCCACCCCCCAAAGTTCAAGGCTGTGCCCACTGAGAGACATCTCTATGACCAGGGTGCAGCTTCAGTGACCTTCTCCGGGTTCACTCCAGGTTGGGGCCCTTTAGTTTACTTTAGTGGCTTGATTTAGGAGAATGAACCAGAAGAACAGGGAAAGGTGGGTTGGCCTCTCTTGCCCCACCCCCTCACACACACCTTAACATGTTCTGATCCTCAACCAAAATGCATTCAGTTACCACTGCAGAGAGAGGAGGCCCAGGTGCCAGCTGGAATAGGCACACCCTCCTTCTTTGCCCAGCAGGGCCTCTATTCTCCAATAGAACCCCACACTCACCCCACTGCCCGCCCTGCAGCTTTAGCCACCATCCATGGTTTCCCTCTTAATCTGTAGTTGAGCAGACCCGTCGCCCATTGCCACAGCTACAGATGAAGGCAGGGAGGGAGTGTTGGGTTGTGAGTGGTTCTCCAATGTCCCTGTGCATCACAGTCACCTGGAGGACCTCTTCGAGTGACCTGTGCAGTCACACGGGGCCCCACACTCAGAAGAATCACACGCTTGATGTTATGCTCTGCTGCTGCCATGTTGAAATTATTGAGAATTTCCCAATAAGAGGCACTTCATATTCATCTACACTGGGCCCCACAAATTATATAGCTGTCTTGTCTAGGGCGGGATCCAAGAATTTACATGTCGAACAAGTTCTCAGGTGATGGCGATACTGCACTCCAGGGTCCTCTTGGAGAACCATTCAGATTTTCCAGAGTCATCCTGAAACACACAGGAAAGGGACAGTGACCCTCTACCGCCCCCTCTCTCCCTTCTCACCCACCCAATCATGGATATGAAGATGGAGGGGGGAGAATGGAGGAAAAAACAAAAACCAACACGGAGCTTCAGTTACTTCTGTTATTGTTCTGATTGTGTTGTGTTGTGTTTGAACCAGAGTAAATTCTCTCATGAAGCATGCTGCCTTTTCAACCCTGTCCCATTAATGGAGGTGTGATCTCCTTGTCTGTATAGCCTATGAGTACAAGATCACTTTTTTGTAGCAGCTTGCAAAAATACACAAAGTAGATCAATATCATAATAAGTAAGTTGAGAGGCCGGGGAAAAGAAAATAATAGAGTGATAAGGTGAAGTCAGAGAGTATGACACGTATAAGTGTCCCACCAGCTCCAACACACCAGCCCAACTTGACCCTCAATGACTTGGAACCCTGTAGACAGCCATTGCAAAGAGAGATGAATTATTTATTTCATGATTCAGGTCAATAGATTAAAAATAATCTCCTCACTCCGTGGAATTTTTTTCCCCTGAGTTATCTCTCTTTATGCACATAACTCCTGGCTGAATCTTCAACTTCTGACGTTTTGTGTTAAGTGTTCCATGCCATACGTTTTGTAAGACAGAGGAGCAATACCTGGAACAGAGTTATCGGGCTCCCTTGGAGCTAAACATGACCTTCCAATAACTTTTCTCCAATCAGAGGGGGCAAGAAACATTTGTAGCCCTGGTGGTGGTTTTGTTTTGGCTAATGAGTTGAATGCTCTTCCAAACATCCCACAAAATAAGGCTTTATGCACCCACCACTATTGATGTAAAACCAGTGACTTCTTCTTGCTGAGTAGACAGACTCTTTTGTTAATTACTGACAGTCCCTGAACTGTCTAATGAGTTCCATTCCTAAGTGTGTCTTTTAAGTTGAGTTTGTACATGGATCGGAACAGTTAGGTATGGTTGTATCTGATATCAGTTAGTCAAATGTTTGTCTTAGTATGTGGCATATAGCATACCTATAAAAACATTATGCATAATAAACATTAATGAAACATTTCCAGATACACTAAAACATCTTTAACATAATAATATAGTAATAATAATGTTTTGATGCTCCTCAAAGAGTAGTGTCCCTTTGATATTATGAACCATTGTACGTTCCTGGAGTTTCTAATATAGTAGGCTTTAGTGAGGTTGGTTTGTAACTTCGAGTTGGGTTGTATGTAAGTTGGACGTTTGTAACCCAGGAGCTTCTTATACTGGAAACGTGTCAATTTACTAGGGAAACAAATGAGATTAACCCAGTAATACAATTCCTAGTCCTGGTGCGAAAATAGAACCTCCACAGTAGCTAGCAATTCATTTTTTTTTTTCATTTTTTCTCATTTTTTAGAGTGAAGTTGCCTCAACCAGAACCTTACCTCATGACAATAGACAAGATTTGTTGTTGTTTTGTTGTTGTTGTTGTTGTTGTTGTTGCTGCTGCTGCTGTTGTTGTAGTCCTGCAGCTAGAATGAGTGAGGCTTTGTCCCTTTGATTAGATCTGGTGGTTAAAGACTTTTCCTCCACTTTCCAGAAGAAGTGCTTTCTTTTTTTTCCCCCCTTCAAATTCAGGGGAGGCCTAAAGTTCTGGAAAATAACTCTCACGGTTGTCCTCTGCCTTTTTCCCACAAGATTATCTGACATCAGTGCAGAGATGAGGCAGGGAGCAGGCTTATTCACACCACGTGGGTAGGAAAGTCCCTGAGCCCCTGATGCCTCAGTAACAGGCGAGGCACCACAAATGCTCAGTTGGCTTTCCCTGGACCCGAACCCCTGGCAGAAACCCTGGACAAAGCTGAATCCCCTGTGAGCGTACCAAACTGTTTGATTGGGCCAGTACTGCTCAGGCACGGGCTTGCCCTTGTGTTTCTCTCTCTCTTTTTTTCTTTTTTACAGTTTATCGTGCTTTAGGTGAAAAGTTTACATAGCAAATTGGTTTTCCGATCAGTAGCTCATGCACCAATTGTTCCAGGACATTGGTTGCCATCCCTGCCACGCGTCAGCACTCTCCCTATGTCCTCCTCGGTTCCCCGTTTCCGTTCCTCCGGTTTCCCTGTCCTTCCCTGTCTCTCACCTTTGGGTTTGGACAAATGTTACCCTTTGGGTCTCACCGAGTCGATTGTTCTGAGGAGCATGTTCTTCACGGTACTCTGTGTTTGATAGCCCCATACTTGGCTGAGAGGTGGCCTCCAAGATTGTCTGCAGCTCCGAGGTTGTCAGGGCTGTCATCTTGGGTGGGTTTGCCTTCTTGAAGAACATAGATTTGTCTTGAAAAATCAAAGTCAAAGAGAGAAAAGACTAGAAAAGGGCAGTTAAGCCAGAGGGCAACAGGGGCAGGTGCTGGCGTTTTAATCAACCTATCATCAGTTCCCTTTAAGATGTCAGGGCCACCGTTTCTGAGGAAGGTAGAACAGAAAGATGTTTCAAGGTAAGACTTCATATGCTCTTCCATGCTCCCAATGCCCTCGTTTTCCTGTCCCGCTTACATTTTCACTGTTTTTTCCATTGCTGTGACAACCCACACGTGTATGAAACGTAATCAGTATGCCACTTAGTATGTCTTACCATATCCACTTGGTGCTTTATAGAATCATCTTACATGCCTTCAAATACAATGGCCTCTGTGGTTGCTGTGTGCCATTGAGTCAGTTTCAACTCATAGCAATCGCACGTGACAGAGGAGAACTGCCCCATGGGGTTTTCTTGGCTGTGAGTCTTACCGAAGCAGATCACTAGATGTTTCCTCGGGCACTGCTGTTTGGGTCCAAACTGCCAGCCTTTCACCTTCCAGCCAAGCACTTAACTGTCGCGCCACTAGGGTTCCTTCAGTGGCCTCCAGGGATGCTCTTATATTGATCTTTTAGGCCAGCATTTTATATACTGAACTAATTCCCCACAGCAATATCATCATTGCTCAAAGCCTGGATTTACTTCCTTTAAGTACTTTGGGAGGTGGAAGGGAATGGGGGTGTGGACTCGTCCAAAAGCCATTAACGGACTTCAAGCAAAGTTTTCTCTTGTGCTTTTATGTGAATTCTTTTTAAGTTTAGAATATAGAGCAATGTAAAGGATTTATCCCCCAGCTTTTCCTTGCTTTGAGCACCATTAGATGTTAAGTTTGAAATGGACCAGGAACTAATCCGTCTCCTATTTCAGTGACACACGTTGGATACCACAGGGTTCCATCTCTGTTTCATCCTCTCCCCTCCCTGCCCTCCCTTCCCCTGGCTGCCGTTTCCTGTAACATCTGTGGCGTTTTACTGCCATCTGTTGGCCATTACATGGAAACACTTTCACCTTCTTTCTGTAGAAGTCTTGGAATATTTCTCAAAACGTCTTTGCGTTTCAGCTTCTGTGTCCATGTTTGTGTAATGGTTGCATTGTTTGAACCTGTCACTCGTTGTTGCCACACTAACGCTCCTGCCATTTTCTCCTTGCCCCAGAAGCCCTGACACGCTGCAGTCGGACGTTCCCTTTGCCCGGGGAGGCAGGCACTCATCCACAGACTCTAACAAGGCCTCCAGTGGCGACATCTCCCCTTACGACAACAACTCTCCCGTGCTGTCCGAACGCTCCCTGCTGGCTATGCAAGAGGACGCGGTGCCGGGGGGCTCGGAGAAGCTTTACAAAGTGCCAGAGCAGTACATGCTGGTGGGCCACTTGCCATCGAGGTCGAGAGAAAGTTCTCCGGGACCGAGGCTTGGCAAAGGTAACTGGAGCCAGCACGGGCCCAGTGCAAGGGTTAGCCTCTTGTTGGACGTGGGCTGGTGTGGGGTGCTTGGTGCCTTCCTTTGCATTTCTCTGTAATTCCTTGAGCATTTATTGAGTCCCTGCTAAACACCTACTCCGGCTGTCTTGGGGGACCCGTGCAATCTGTGCGTTTATTCTTAGATATTTCAGAAGCTGACCAAGCACAGGAGTCCATGGTGGGGCAAACGGTCAGCTCACTCAGCTGCTAACCAACAGGTTGGCGGTTTGAGGCCACCCAGAGGTGCCTCAGAAGAAGGGCCTGTCAATCCGACCCCAGACATCCCTGTTAGCAGCAAGCCTTTGAACCATCTGCTCCACCCGGGGATTGTGGTGAGGGTTTAAGGAGATAGTGGGCCAGCCTGCTGCAGGGGATTATTCTAAGCAGTGTGCACAAAAGGCATGTACAAATGAATGTGTGCCCGCGGAAATGAATCCGTTAATGCCACAAGCAGAGGACTGGTTTCTCCCGCTATGCAAAAGTCAAGCATTCCTTTGAAATCTTTCATAAGTTAAAATGGCTTTAAGCGAAGAAACAATTACCGTTACTTTATACGAGGAAAGTGTTCGAGCATTCCCAGACCCCAAATATAACCTATTAAAATCATACCAAATAACACATAAAAGCTAAACTAACACTAACACGCAGTGTTCCCAGCCACACATCAAAACTGTGGCAGCTGGATGCCAAGATGCTGGGTATAGTTCCCGGGGAAGGAGCTTGGTGATGTCGCCCTCGCTGCTCAGGGGGTCTCTGCTCCTTTAATGGCTTCCTGCAAAACAAACGCTGCACTCTAGTCTCACTTTTTGCCTTTTGTTGTATAAATGAAGAGCCTCTGCAGATTACTCTCAATTAGTGGAAACAGGCACTGATAGAGGTCTTTTGTAAAAGCGAAGTGGCTTAAAGAGAACTTTTGCAAAGCCAGGGATACTGCTGTTCCTAAAGGCGGTGTAGAAACTCTATCTGTTGTTCTTCTGCCTCTGTGTTAATGTGGCTAGAGCCTAGAGGGCTGTTGCCACCTGACTTCATTGTATGACTTTCCTGTGGTTGCTCTAACATGTGACCCCAAACTTAGAAGCTGAAAACAGCATACCTTTGTTATCCTAGAGTTCTGGAGGTGAGAAGTCTAAAATGGGCCAGTCTCTTGCCTTTGCCAGCATCCAAAAGCTACCTGCATTCCTTGGCTCATGGTCCCTTCCTCCATCTTCAAAGCCAGCAATGGAGGGCCGAGTCCTTCTCACATCACATCACTTTGATACTAACTCCTCTGCCTCCCTTTTCCACTTCTAAGGACCCTTGTGATGACATCGGGTCCACCTGGATAACCCAGGATAATCTGCCGATGTCACGATCCTTAACTTCTGTGAAGTTCCTGTTGATTTTAGCGCATCCCAAGGCTCTGGGGCTTAGGAAATGAGCATCTTTGGGGGCCGTTATTCCACCCCCACAGCCATGATATGCACAGAGCATTTGTGTAAGTCCTGTGTGAAACGGAGCTTCTGAAAGGCAGGTCTGGATCATGTAGTGGTGTGTATCCAACACAATCTCAAATACAGTGATTTGAATAGAGGAGAGGCTCTATAAGCTGTTGTTTATTGGTTTTGTCCTTGAACTTTAATGTTGGGTTACATTTTTTCCTAGATATGTCAGAGGAAGCTTTCAATATCTGGGGAACTTGGCATTCAACATTGAAAAGTGGCTCCAAAGACCCAGGAATGACAGGTGAAATGTCATTTTTTTAAAGACTATTTGCAAATGCTTTTTAATTTTTGTTTAGTATTTGCCTTTTTACCAGCATCATGCATGTTCATTGAATAATATTTGGAAAATGACGAAAATCGGGGATAAAAAAGGTTAAGATCCACTTAGACTTTCCACACTGGTACTGTCAGCCTTTGCCTGAATTCATTCCATTTCCTTATCGAAAGAGCAGAACAGACATGCATGCACGCATGCACACATACATGCACGCGCACACACACACACAAGGAGGAACCACACACATGAGGGACCAGCTGCAAGCCAAGGAACGCCAAGGAACGGCTGGGGCTACTGGCAAGAAAAGACCTTCTCCTAGATCCCCTGATTTGTAAACATAGTTAGAATCATTCTGTCTATACAGCTTATTTTGTTTTAACTTCTTTTCTATTATAACTTTTCATGGCTACCTAGTATTTTACTGATGCAGATTCCAGTTTACAAATCCAATGCTTTGGCAATTCAATTGTTTCACTTTTTTATTTTGTTGTGATAAACTATGTTCTCAGGAATGTTTTCATGTAAATGTTTGTGTATTTCCAATTACTAATAGATTCCTCAAATTTTGGGAAGTACATCAGGATTATAAACTCAGAATAGGAAAAGCCATCAAAAACCAAACCCATTACCATTGAGCTGATTCTGACTCACAGCGCCCCTAGAGGACAGAGTGGAACTGCACTACAGGGTTTCCAAGACTGTCAATCTTCACAGAAGCAAAGTCCAAACCACACCCACTGCTGTGGAGTTGATTCTGACTCGCAGTGCCCCTAGAGGACAGAGTGGAACTGCACCATAGGGTTTCCAAGGCTGTCATCTTTACAGAAGCGGACTGCCTCATGTTTCTCCTGCAGAGAGGCTGCTGCTTTTGAACCACTGATCTTTTGCATGCTTAACCACTGTGCCCCCAGGGCTCCTTCAGAATAGGAAAGTGGGTCAGAAACCATGAACTTTTTCAAGAATTTACAGATATAGCCACATTACCTTCTGTCTTAGTTTGCTAGCACTGCCGTAAGAAAAACATCACAAGAGAGTGTCTTTAAAGAACTGAAATTTCTTGTCTCACAGTTTTGGAGGCTGGAAGTCCAAATCATGGCATCAGCTCTAGGGACGGGTCCTTCCCGGTAGATAGCCCTGGGGGTTCCTTGACATTCCTTGGCTTGTAGATGGTTCTTCACACGGTCTCTGCCCAGTGGGTGGGTCTTTTTATCTATTCTGCTCTTTTTATAAGAAACCACTAGGAAGGGATTAGGTTTGCGACCCCCCACACACACACTCCAGTACGAACTCATTAACATAACAGAAAGACCCAGAAACTTCACCAAAAAAGACATTCAGGAGGCCAACACATACGTGAAGAGATGCTTATGATCATTAGCCACCAGAGAGATACAAATCAAAACAACATTGAGATGCCATCTCACTCCAGCACTAATAGCAAAGTTCATAAAAACAGAAAACAACAGATGCTGACAAAGGTGTGGGGAGAGTGGAACTCTCTTACATTACTGGTGGGATTATGAAATGGTACAATCACTGGGGAAAACAGTACGATGCTTTCTTAACAAGTCAGAAATAGAGATACCACAAGATCAGACAACCCCACTACTAGGTATATAATTTTTCATGAGAAATAAGAGCTGTAGCACACATAAACACATTCACATGCACACCCCTGTTCATTGATGCTTTATTCATAGTAACAAAAAAAGGGAAGCAACCTAAGTGCTCATCAGCTGATGAGTGGATAAACAAACTATGGCTCATACACACAATGGAATCCTACACAGTGGTAAAGAATAATGATGAATCTATGAAGCGCCTCTTCACACGGATGAACCTAGAGAACATTACCAAAACCAAACCAAACTCATTGCCATCGAGTTGACTCCGACTCATAATGACCCTCGTTGGGTTTCCAAGGCTGGAAATCTTTATGGAACTAGATCACCCCATCTTCCTTCCGCAGAGCAGCTGATGGGTTTGAACCGCTGACCTTCTGGTTAGCAGCCAAATGTCTTATCCACTAAGCCACCAGAGCATTATGCTGAGTGAAATCAGTCAGTCACAAAATGACTACTATTGTATGAGACCATTCTTAGAAAAAAGTCAAGAAAAGGTTTTCACACGGAAAGAAAAAATTCTTTACCGTTTACTGGGGGGGGGGGAGGATCACTAACTAGATAGTAGACATGTAGTACCTTGGGTGAAGGAAAAGGCAACACACAATAAAGAGGAAATCAGCACAAAATGACCAAGGCAAAGGAAGACAGTGGGAGGCATGCAAGGGTAAAGGCGGCAGTGGTAAATACGGTGTATACCAATCCCGCAGTCACAGTGGTAACAAGCGGTGATTTACAAGTGGATACATCGATGGACATGCAAGTTGAACAGGTGTGGGATGGTGTATGGGACTACACCCATGAGCGTATGGAGGTTTGGCAGAAAATATTTCTACATACGTATTTGTATGGGCTGCAAATATACCCAGGTATGTAGTGGAGCACACGGGAGGCAAAGTGATGCAGACTTCTTAGCCATAACCAAACACTGTGGGGGACTGAGTCATTGGGTTGAGGGCTTAGGACCATAGTCCAGCGAGACACTTAGGTCAGTTGGCATAACACAGTCTCCAAAGACAATGTTCTATATCCTAAATGGGGAGAAGCAGCTGGGGTCTTAAAAGCTTGTGAGTGGCCACCTAAGATACAACCACTGGTCTCTTCCCATCCAGAACAAGGAAAAGTGAAGAAAATCAAAGACTCAGAGAACCAGTTAGTCCAAAGAACTAATGGGCCACACAGACCACAGCCTCCCCGAGCCTGAGACCAGAAGAAATAGATGGTCCCTGGCTACCCCTAGTGGCCAGTCTGACTGGGATCACAATAGGGGGTCCTGGACAGAGTGGGAGAAAAACGGAGAACAAAGTTCAAAATCGTGGAAAAGACCAGACTTACTGGTCAGCAAGACTGTAGGGCCTGAGACTGTGGCCCTTAGACACCCTTCAAGGCTGGAACTGGATCCACCCCAGGGATCAACTCACAGCCAAACAATAGACAGGCCTATAAAGTGAACAATTAACACCAGGGAGGAATGTACTCCTTAGAACAGTCAATACCAGGGGACCAAAAGGGCAGCGTTTGCCCAAAAACAAAGCTCAGAAGGCAGGAAGGGGCAGGGAAAAAGGACAAATGGACACAGGGAACCCAGGGAAGAAATGGGAAGAGTGCTGTTACATTGAGGGAATTGCACCTAAGGTCATGAAACAAAATGAGTATAAATTGTTGAACAGGAAACTAATTTGCTCTGTAAACTTTTACCCAAACCGTAATAAAACATTAAGGAAAA